CCAGGCACTGTAGTGAGGAAGAAACACAGGTGGTCTGTGAATGCAGAAAGCAGCTCAACCTCATTATTAACCAGAGAATGCAAATTATAACTGATGCTCACTAAACAGGCAGGCCTCACTTTATTGTGCTTCCCAGACACTGTGTTTTACAAACTGAAGGTCTGGGGTACCCCTGCATTGAGCACATCTATCAGTAAGTACCATTTTCCCAAGAGCACTGGCTCACCTTGTGTGTCTGTGTCACTTTCTGGTAATTCTCACAATATTTGGAACTTTTCCCTTATTACTGCATTTGTCATGGTGACCTGTGATTACTGATCTCTGATGTTACTACTGCAATTGTTTTATGGTGCCATGGACTGTGCCCATGTAAGATGGTAAACTTAAGGCATAAATGTGTGTGTTCTGACTGCTCCACTGACCAGTTGTTACCCCATTTGTCTCCTCTCCTCTAGCCTCCTTATCCCCAGACACAACAATATTGAAATTAGGCCAATTAATAACCCTACAATGGCTTCTAAGTGTTCAAGTCGCATGTCTCTCATTTTAAATCAAAAGCTAGGCCTCTTGTGCTAGTCAGCCAAGTTGTGAAGGCAAAAGAAAAGTGCTTTAAGGAAATCAAGTGCTACTACAGTGAACAAACGAATGATAGAAGTGAAACAACCTTATTGCTGATAAATTTGCTGATAAAGAGAAAGTTCTAGTGGTCTAGATAGAAGCTCAAACCAGCCACAATGTTCCCTTAAGCCAAAGACTAATCCACAGCAAGGCCCTAACTCTTTTCAATTCTATGAAGGCTGAGAGAGGTGAGGAGACTGCAGAAAAGTCTGAAGCTAGCAAGATGTTGGTTCACGAGGCTTAAGGAAGGAAGCCGCCTCCGTAACAAAAAAGTACAAGAGGGGCAGCAGGTGCTGGTGGAGAAGCTGCAGCAGGTGACGCAGAAGGCCCGGCTGAGATCATTCATGAAGGTGCCATGCTAATCAGCAGACTCTCAGTGTGGTGAAACAGCCTTCTATTGGAAGAAGATGCCTTCTAAGGCTTTCATAGCTAGAGAGGAGAAGTCAGTGCCTGGCTTCAAAGGATAGTATGACTCCCTTTTTAGGGGCTAATGCAGTTGGTGAGTTTAAGTTGAAACCAGTGCTCACTTATCATTCTGAAAATCATAGGGCCCTTAGGGATTATGCTAAATCTCCTCTGTCTGTGATCTTTCAATGAACAACAAGGGTTGGATGACAGCACATATTTTTATAACATGGTTTCCTGACTGTTTTAATCCCACTGTTGAGACCTATTGCTCAGAAAAAAAGATTCCTTTCAAAACATGATGCTTACTGACAATGCACCTGGTCAACCAAGAGCTCTAATGGAGACAGGCAATGAGATCCATGTTGTTTTCGTGCCACTAACACAGCATTCTGCAGCCTATGGATCAGACTTTTAAAAATCTTATTATTTTAGAATATATTTTGTAAGAGTATAGCTGCCATAGATGGTGACTCCTCTGATGGGCCTGGGCAAAGTCCACTGAAAGCCTCTGGAAAGGATTCACCGCTCTGGATGCCATTAGGAACACTGCTGACTCATGGGAAGAGGTCCAAACAACCCACATGAACAGGAGTCTGGAAGAAGTTTCTAACCCTCCTGGATGACTCTGAGGAGTTCAAGACTACATGGAGGGCACAGCAGGAGAACCAGCACTAGAAGTGGAGCCTGAAGGTGGGCTGAATGGCTGCCTCTCACGAAAAACAGACAGGTGAGGAGCCGCTCCTTAAGCATCAGCAAGGAAAGTGGTTTCTTCAGAGGGAATCTGCTCCTGGTGAGGACGCTGTGAAGACTGCTGCAATGACAACAAAGGACTGAGAATATGGCATAAACTTAGTTCACGAAGCAGCGGCAGGATTTGAGAGGACTGACTCTCATCTTGAAAGAAGCCCTACCGTGGGTAAAAATGCTGTCAAACAGCATCGCACACTAGAGAGAGGTCTCATGTGAAAGGAAGAGCCGACCAGTGTGCCTGCTGTACCTCATCTGAGAAACTGCCACGGCCACCCCGCCATCAGCTCCCACTACCCCATCAGTCAGCAGCTGTCAACATGGCAGCAAGACCCTCCACCAGCAGAAAGATTATGACTCGATGAAAGCTCATGAAGGTCAGCTTTTTTTAGCAATTAAAAAAAATTTAATGTATGTTTTGTTTGTTTAGACATAATGCTATATTGCCCACTTATTAAAATATAATTATAGTGTAAACACAACTTTTATACACACTGGAAAACAAAAAAAAAATTTGACTAGCTTTGTTGTGATGTCCACATTATTGCAGCAGTCTGGAACTAAACCTGCAGGATCTCTGAGATATGCCTGTATAGGCAAAAATTTTAAATTCTGACAATGCCAAGTTAGTCACAGGAAACCTGTATACAGATGGTGGGAGTACAAATAGGTCCACTACTTACAAAAGTAAGTGGCATTATCTTATAAAGTTAAAGACCATGAACTCATGACCCAGCATGTCTCATCCTAGTTTACATACCCTGAAGAAACTCTTGCGTATGTACACCGGGGGGCAGATAGGAGAATGCTTACAGCAATCCAGTTCATGACTGCACAAGGCTGGGAATATCCCAAATACCCACCATTAAGAGACTGGATAAACACACTGGGGTATACTCATAAAACTGAGCATTACACAGCAGCAAAAAGTGAGTAACTACATATAAGCACTGAAGGAATCTTGGAAGCGCCATTTAAAAAAGTGCTCAAAAACATGCAAAATTAAAGAACATATTAAAGTCCATACCTATATGTTAGGTGTGGGCTAAAATTTTGAAAATGAAAGGAAATAATACAACCTGAAAATGAAAGGTTATCTCTAGGTAGGAAGAAGCTGGGACAGGGAAGAACATGTAAATAGGTACAAGTTATTGCTCTGCCCTAGTTTTTGGTTTTGAGGTGAGGTCACTGGTACTCACTAGAATACTATGTTTATTGCTTTATGTTTATTAAGAACAGGTTAAAAGGATTCCTGAATACTCGACATTCAACCCTTAGTCGCTGTGTGACCCCGAGCCAGTCTTTTCAGCCTGTCTCCCCCAGCTGTGGAGATCACACCTGCTCCCACCTCTGGGGAGCTGGGGGAGGACCGAACGAGGTAGGGCGTGCACAGCGCTTGGAGCAACACATGGCATGTAGTGAAATGTTAGCCACCCTGGCTCTGCTTCTGTTCTATGTCTAGTAGCAACTACTTTCTGAGGTGCTTTCAAGATACCAGGTAGAAACTATTTCATTAGAAAAATGAATCTACACTGCAGGAGACACAGTGGGAAGTCATCAGTGCTGCGGAAGAGGTGAAGCCATGTAAGTGGTAACGTAGACCCAGGGAAGCTCTGAAGAGCAATGCACCAGGGCAGAACGCAGACAGCAGCTCTGGGGACGGAGGCGGAGCTGAGACGGGCAGCAGAAGCGAGACACAGAAGAACAGAGAGCCTGGGGACTGGGCGGCATTCTGAGGAAACGGTCAAAGAAGAAACAAGAACGCACTGTTGAGGCCTGAGTAGGAGGCCAGGGAATGGACACTGGGAAAAAAAGCGGACTCTTAGAAGTTTAAAGATGAAGAGAAGGTGAAAAGAGTAGGAAACGGTGGAAGGGCAGTGACTTCAAGGCTTAGGGAGACCCGTTTACAGGCAGAGGGGCAGGAGCCAGTGCAAAGGAAGACAAAGGTAGGTGGGAGGGGACCACTGACTGGGTGCGGCCTTGGGGAGGGCAGGTGATATTCTGGGTCCTGGCAATGGAAAGGCGCGGATTAGTGCTTCTCAAGCTTCAGTATGCCTATGAAGGACCTGGGGAGTTATTAAAGTACAGATTCTGACTCCGTGGATCTGGGGGTGGGCCCGGGAGTCTGTATCTCTAACAAGCTCTGAGGTGGTGCTGACGTCACTTGTCCACAGACCGCTCTGAGTGGTGAGGGTGCCGATTCCCTCTTCCTATCCCAGGAAGTGCAGCCAGAAGGCGTCTGGTAGTGCAGGGGGGGCAGCGGTAGGAGTGTCAGCTGCAGGCGCCCTGAGGCTCCTTGGGATGAGGGCGGCAGGTGGGCCGAAAAGAAAAGCAAGCCCGTCAGGTACTGAGGCTTTCAGTGAGGTGGGTGGGCCCATGCCCCTGGGGGGAGGGCACAGGGTGGTCTGCCGGCGAACAGTCAAGAGAAGGCAGACAGACAGGGATGGAGGTGGCCTAGTCGGGTGAGGAATAAGGGACCAGTTAACATCAGAGGAACTTGAGGTTAATCACGGATAACTGGGTGAAGAACGAGGGCCAAGAAGTGAACAGTACTGACATGGACAGGCAAGAACCCAGCTGAGACCAGAATTTAATGGACCTTGTTGTGAAATCATTTGCCCCCATCCAGCTGGTCTTCACAGAGAAGGACTCATGGAAGATGATCATGGGCACAACTCACCTGCTTTCTGACACTTTCACAAAGATGGTCTGGCCCGTGATTTCGAGGTTAACAAGGTGCAAAGTGGACAGGTTTTTCCCTTGGGCACTTGAAATATCAACATTCATATACTGTTTGAATATTCAAATACCTCAAGTCCCTGTGAGCACATTAGATTACATACTGGTTCTAGGAGAGCAGCAGGGTATGAAGGGCCCTATTTGAACATGCCATTCCTGTTACAATGAAAGAAACATGCCTGTCAACTTTTGAGGTGACACTTCATAATTTCAGTATTTCACACCTTACTTTAAAATACGCTCAAGCTGCCAAAATTAGTGTAAAGAAGAATAAACCTGTTCACCGAGTTCCACACTGACAGGCAGGTGTGACTGTGACCCCCACGCGGCCCTCTTGTTCCCAGACTCCGAGCAGACAGCCGCCTCTCCCGGAGCTGCGTGTGGGGCTGGGAATGTTTCTCGTTTACTGAGACAGTGTTTAGGGCCGAGAGGTGGGTCTGAGCCCAGCAAAGCGCCCCCCAGGCCCGCGGCAGGCCGCACCCCCTTACCCCTTCGCCGCTCTTCTGCAGGTCGGAGGCTGCGTTCCGCGTGTCGCTGCCGGCGTCTCCGCCCTCAGAGCTGCTTTTGTTCCCCTCTTCTTTGCAGTCCTTGTCATCGTCGTCTCCTGGCGATTTCCGGGACTGTTTAGAGGACTTCTAAATGTTTAGACAAGTTAAAAAGTAGAGTCAAAAGTAGAAATCCAAACGGCCAAGCGCCAAGAAGAGAGGCAGAAGCAGCGGACCCACCACCAGTCTTTGTGTCTTGGTACAGGACCTACGGACACAGCCCGCAGTGCACCAAGGCTGAGCTGGGTGACCCTGCAGTCACCTCCCTGCACTGGGCCTCAGTTTAACCAGGTACAGAGAACTAGATGACCTTTTAGTTCTTCCCAGAAGTGGGAGGTGAAAAGCAACAAATTAAGTTTCATGTACCTAGGACACTGCCAATGAACAAAGAGAGCCGATGCATCCTACCTAGGGCAGGCCACAGAGCTAGAAGGCATCCTTCGGGCCGTCTCGTCCTGCCCCATCGTTTTATAGTAGAAATTGAGGTTCAGAGAAGCGAAGCAGACTGTCTAAGATAATATGAGGAAATTCATTTTGGGCACCTGCTGAATCTGTTTGGTTAATGGTCTACATGGAAAGATCTTGACAAAACTTTTATTTCACTGTGTGAAATGTACTAACTTTAATCTTTTAAACTATGGATAGCTATTTAAGAACTCAAGGCTGTACTGCTGAACTAGCCCTTCCTTCTTATTTCACACTGACATCAAATGAAACCCACAAGAAGATGAAAGTACAGTTACAGTGCCCTGGCAGAGCCGCCCCGCGCAGCAGGACTGCCGGCCGGCCCCCCTGTGCACCTTTAAGGAAGTCAAATGTGGCATTCCTCTAACACTTCCTCTTTGGGGAATTTTAAGAATCTTTAAGCGCATGGCAAATAAGAGCTAAGGCAAAACTGACTTAGCCCAGTCATTTTTGGTCTTCCAGAAATGAATGAGCAAATTAGAGCTTCCTCCATCAGTATTTTAAGACGCAACTTCCAAAGAGAAAATATTCTGTAGCTGTGTGATAAATGTATTACTATTATCACTTCAATTTTGTTTTTAACTGAAACTAGCATCCAAGTCCAAAATGCTAGTTTAAAATGAAGTCATTTTTACTTTTTTACATAAAGAGAAAGCAGGATTTAATAACCCAAATATGGAGCATCTAGAGTTAAAGAATCAATTATGACAATAAAGGTAAAGTCTTCTTGCTCTCCTAATAGAGTATAATCATTAAAATCTGGTAACGGCTTGATATAGTAATTCTCAAATAACAGTCCTGAACCTGCAGTTCTTAGAGATAATAATGCACAACTCCCTAAAATTTATAATGCTAACAAAGGACACTTATGAGTATTATAATTTGGTATACATAGACGAGAATTAGGGCGTTTGTAGAGTTTTGCTAAAGAGTCACATTCAGTATTCTACTGAAAAATCTGGCTGCCAAGCTATGTTTGGTAACTTTGCCATGCTCTTAATTATGCATATTCACATCATCTCAATTCCTGTAACTTTGGGGAAGGCCCCTTTGTCTGTTTCATCAGTGATCTTGAACCCATGTGTGTCCAATTGATCCCATCTTTGTTTTTTAACCAAGATTACTAGTGGTTTATTTAGCATCATCAACAATGTAGCTGATTGTGAGGCTCTCTGACTACTCTACTTTACACAGTAAAAAAATCTGCATGCATTTTTACCTGGTAATTTTCTACTATCTGGAATAGCTCAGAGAGGAGTCATCCACACACCCGCTACTACAGAGAGATAGATACATAGCCTCCCTAAAATCTTCTTGTACTATGGCTTTTCATTGTGATTACTGAACCTTTCTTTTCACAGGAAAGTGGAATCAGGCAAGGTGGAACGGATGTGGGGCATTTCTCTCCACCTAACTGGGATGCAGTAAAAAAAGTTGTGAACCATTGGTCTTTACTGGCAAAGGAAGATTATCCAACTTTAAGAAATTGACATATAAAAAAGATCACCATATTTAACAAAAAGGAGCCATTTGGGAAGCCAAAGGGAACAACAAAATAATGCCAGGTAAGTGCTTCTCTACATGAGATTCCCAGCTCAGCATCAGCCTTACTGGAACTTTAATTCTCAGACCCTACCCTAGACACACTGAAAGAGGAATCTGGGGTTGAGGCTCAGCAACATGTGTTTTAACAAGCCCACCACGTGATTCTGATGCATGAGAGAGTTTGAGAACCACCGTGCTAGGTTACTCACTTGATATCAAGAACAAAAAATCATGGTTCTTAAGTGATCATGACTGTTGTAATCTTGAAGGAAGCAAAGGAAATAATCCTTTAGTTTAAAATAGGCAAGTCTTAGTAAGTAAGTAAAGTATGTCTTTACTACCTTACTTCATTAAAATGTAAATCCACCCCGGGTCGAGACCCACCACTTCTGGCCTTCACAGCAAGCAGTGAGATGGACGACATTTGAAAGCCACACAGCCACCTGTTAAATGCCGTGGCCACCTCAGGTAAGTTAGGTAATTTAGGGGGGAACAATACATTATACAGAAGCTCAGCAGACATCCATAAATTAAATAAAATCAACTCAATTGGGTCCAAAATGTTAAAAGAAATTCAGCTTAAAAAAATAACTACAATGGAAGATACATTCTTATGGGAAAATTCTAATTATTTTGTGGTTGTTTGCAAACTTTATTCCCATCCAAGGTATGTTTTTCATTAGGTGCACAGGAAGCAATATGTATTCATACAATTTTACCTCTATGTCAGTTGGGTAGATTTTACACCCTGTAAAATCAAACGTCGATAGTCTGATAAACTTTTGATACTTGTTTTTAAGGTGTTTCCTGAGTATATCCAGTCACTGGCTACCAGAACCTAAGTGGAAGTCATTACCCGAGTGTTCAGTCGTATGATAGACCAATATAGTGAGATCTGCACTGAACTTTGGTCTTTAAAGACCCATTTATAGTGCTTTCAGTTTCTGAAGATGAACGATTTTCACAACGTCACAAGTTTTTGCAATTGTATTTCTGAATTGCTGTATGAAAAACCTAGACTTTCAATTTGTAAACTTAGGATTGTGTCACTCCTCTGTTTAAAATTTTCCATAAATTACTGTTACATCTGGGATAAAATCCAAACTCCTTAATGTGCCATCCATGTCTCCAATATTTAGCCTTTGCCTGCCTCTCCATCTTGACTGTGATTCTCCAAGCATACCCACCTTTCAATTGGGGATCAGGCCAAACTCTTCCCCGTCTCAGTTCTGCCCGTTGGCCACACTCAGCTCCCCCCACACGCTACTTCCAGGTCCCAGCACGAGCTGCACCTTTTCAGAAAGGCCCGGCCACTCTACCCGAGTAGGCACTCTTATTCTGTCCTTCTCGTCCCATTCACCTTCTTCACAGCCCTTTCACAACTTAAATGTATTTATCAGTCTTTACTACTTGCTAGTTTCCTCTGTGTGCCATTATGTTGTAAGTTACACGAGGGTAGGGAGGGAGCTGGGTTTGCTTGCCACCTTACACCTGGCACAAGTGTCCCACAGAGAACAGGTGATCAGGAAATATGGGGCTAAACAATAAAGAGCCACACTGCAGTCTTTGCAGCAGAAAGACCAGAGTGTGTCTTGTATTTACATTCGAGTACAGAGAGATGGTCCTGAGTTGTACCGAGTCTTCTATATTCCTCACTTCTTCAGAGCTCACCTGCAGGTTCACGTGGGAGGCATATCTACTTTCATGTCTGACTAAATAACAGTCCTCCTCCAACAGAGAAGGCGGTCTTTTCAGGCCCAAACCAGCCCTTAAGAGTCAACAGTCAGTTGCCCTCACACCTCGGGTTACCTGTGCTCTGCCCTGGGCTATGCTGTCATCTCTAAGGGCAGAGGCTCCACAGAGGCAGTGTACTTCTGTGCCCAGTCAATGAATTAAAAATAAGTAAAATAATTTAAGAATATGCACGTGACAGTACTAATAAAGGGAAAAGTTTCTCAATAACCTTTGAAGTGTATGACTTTTTCCGTTTTGAACCAGCTTTTTCATTCTTTCTTTTGCCTTTTCCATCTTCTACTCGATCACCTTCCTCCTCACTGCTTGCATCTGCAGTGTTTCCACCTTCTCCCTCAGTTTCTGAAGAGCTCTGTTGCTGAATTGCCTAGGAAATAATAAAATATTAGCTAATTACATTTTTTTAAGAAATAGCAAAGAACATCAATTGTGAAAATCAGTCTTTTAATTTGGAGGGGTCCAGCTTATTCTTAAGATTTTTCAGAATAAAGGGCAGTCAATTTCAGTTTTCCAGTGACCACCTGATTTGAACCCTCTTGGGTGACAGAATTATATTTAATCCAAAATGCTATTGGAGTCAAAAGAATGCTGACTTCAAATGAATGGAGGGTAACTATTAGTACAAAAGGCAAATAGGAGACCCAAAAAAGAGTTAAAACCAAAGAAAGGAAATAAAGTAAGTGACAATCAAGCAGATTGTTACCTGGTATCCAGTAAACTTTACTCCTGGGTTATTCTCTATTTCCCATAATCCTTCATTAAATCCTTTCCGTTTGTTTGACTTTCCAAACTTGTCTTTGTATTCCTTGTATGGAAAAAGGTCTTTGGGACCTAGAAATGCACTGCAGATATATATGAGAAATAGAATTGATACTCTGAATATCAACTAAGGTCTCAGAGCACATTTTAGTAAGCAAATTAAAAGTATATATAAAAACCCTCTGAGGCAGGCACGTATCTTAAGATGTTACACATATACTTCAGGGCAGAAAAAATGGGTAGCTGGCTACACAAAAGCCAGGTGTGCCACTTTTATTTTACTTTTAAATTGCCAATCTCTTTTTTGTTTTAAAATAGAGTTTTTAGTTACACTAGTTTTAAAGATGTTTGTTTTGACCCCTTAAATCGTCATCCTAAACTAGGACTTACCTATGCTAATTTTCCATAGGTAAAATTTACAGAAAAATATAAACACTGGATTAAAAAAATGATTTAACTCTATATACCACATTAGTATATTAATTCACTCTTATTTCTATAAATTAAAAAATCACAAAGAACAAAGCCAAAACTGAAGGAACAAAACAGCAGCAGACTCACAGAACCCAAGAATGGACTAACAGTTACCAAAGGGAAAGGGACTGGGGAGGGTGGGTGGGAAGGGAGGGACAAGGGGAAAAAGGGGGCATTACGATTAGCACAAATAACATAGGGGGGGCACAGGGGAGGGCAGTATAGCACAGAGAAGACAAGTAGTGACTCTACAGAATCTTACTACACTGATGGACAGTGACTGTAATGGGGTATGGGGAGGACTTCATAACGGGGGGAATCTAGTAACCACAATGTTGCTCATGTGACTGTATATTAATGATACCAAAAAAAAATCATACTGATGTTTAATGAGGCACTAAGCAAGAAAAAACTGTAAGTGGCAAAGTAGAATCTTATCCAATTTAAACCTTATCCTAAATTTATAACTATGAGAAGGAAATGATTAGAAAAAATCCTGGGGCTGACTAACAGATCTGAGTGTTCAAACCGCAGTCTCCTGCACTATTCCCTGTGATTTTAACCTGGTCAGTGAGGTGCTGGAGGCCCGTATCCTGGCTGACACCCACCACGCTTACGTTCCAAACTGAGATTCACGTATTCAACAAAAGACTGCACATCTATAATGTGTCAGCACTATTCCAGAGACACTGGGAATTCTGTGGGGCACAAAGAGATCTTTACCTTCATGGAACATACATTCTAATAGCAGGATAGGGATTTGGACAATAAGTAAATAAAAATACATACATGGTATTGTGTGATAAACAAAAATAAAGCAGAGAAGGGAGATTAGTAAAGCGTGCAGGTAGACTTCACAATTTCAGGCAGGCAGATCAAGGCAGGCCTCACTGAAAAGGGAGCAGCCGAGAACCACCGGAGGTGAAGGAACAAGCCCGCCCAGTTACCCGGGGAAGAGTGCCCCGACAGAAGGGCAAGGCCCCCACGGGTCCTGAGGTGCTAAGAGAGGAAGAGGCCACTGTGGCTAGAGTGAAATGAGTGGCAGGGGAGAGTATAGGTGAGGTCAGAGGGCAGGAGGGTGGGGCACAGATTATGTGGGGCCTGGGGGACACCACACAGGCTCTGAGTCAGGTGTGAAGCCATGGAAGGTTTTGAGGAAAGAAGTAGTAATTTATGTGTTAGTAGGACCACTTGGCTATGCGTTGAAAACAGACTAAGAAGTGGGTCCTCGGGTGGAAGCAGGGACACCCATCAGGCCACTGAAGTCATGAGGCGACCGCCTGGGCTTCGGGAAGGGCGGCTGGTGAGGGGCGGCTGGACTCTGAGCTCCTTCTCAAGAGCCACGAAGATTTGCCGGCGGGCTGGATACGCATGCGGGAGGGAGGGTGGGGCTGAGGGGACCCACAAGGTTTCAGACGGAAAATTCAGAAAAATGGAGATGATATTTAGTGACATGGGAAGATTTTTGAGAGAGAAAGATTTAAGGGTGAAAAGCTCGGTTTGGGGTGTTCAGTTTGAAATTCCGGCTAGACACCCAAGGGAGGATGTCAAGAAGGCAGCTGGAGAGAGAACTGTGAAATCCAGGGACAAGGTCCGAGCTGGAGATACATTATTTGGAAATTAGCAGAAATGATATGAAAAGCTTTGAGACCCCAGGTTAGCAATTCCCTGGCTGGGTCTTGGAGCTGATCCCTCACATTGCCCAGCTGCTCAAACGCTTCAAGCTGATAAAAACACCCGGGGAAGCTCTCTGACCTCCCCCATCCCAAACCTTCCCTGACCGCTCGCCTTTAATCTATCGGTCAGCATGAGTCCATTTCTGAATTCAGACATAGTTTATTAAGTCACTGGACATTTTCATCAAAAGCATGTCAGTGTCTTGCTTGAAAAACTGAGCATGAGAAAGAAATGGACTCTGGGTGTGGCGATTCCACTCGGAGAGAAATCTGTCATGAATTATTAGACTGTGGCTTTGACCTTCCAGCCTTAGACTCTACATATTGGCATTAACTATGTGCTAACCTGCCGAGGTCCCCGTCACCTGTGACGGTAACCGGAGCTTGCCTGGACTATGATGATGCCACAGGAGGCAGTGTGAACAACTGGCCAGCTCAACTGTTCCCAGAAAGAGGGGCTCTGAATGAACTACTGTTCTAAAACAAGTTCTCACTTTTGATAGACAACCTTGCTGTCTCCTGGATTACAGATAATTCCACAAGTCAAATCCCTTCTCAATTGGTTAACTTTGCCCCAAGGTTTTACAAAGGCTAAAGGGCAGGCCAGAAAATAAAACTGTTTAAAGCTATATGCTCTAAGGATCTTTCTTTTTTTTTTTGGTCATGGCTGCCTTGAAAATTGTCTAGACTAAAACTACTAGGGTGAAGTTATATGGATCAGAGGAACCCACGGCTCCAAGCACCTGCCTGTCAGGGCACGAGGACAGATTCCAGGCCAGGCTCTGAGGAAAGTCCAGTCCTCTCTGGGATGCCCCCTTGGGTAACCTGCACAGCCCTTTCTTGTTAAGGTCCTCACGTTTCATATATTTTTCCCCTTTCACTTACCTCATTTAATTGATTTAGTTCATTCAACAGCTATTTTTTCAAGTACTACCCTGTGCCAGGCACTGTGCTAAGCGCTGTGTAAGAGGTAAGCAATCCACATTGGAGCTCCGCCTACACAGAGAGGTTGACCATTAGGCCCTTGCTGGGGCAGATCACTTCAGGTTCGGGGATATCCAGTGCCTAGTAACGTTCAGCTGAAACCATGTCATGGCGGGCTTTTTGAAATTCATTCTCTTCTAGATGTTTTAAATGTACTTCTGGATAATCAAACCAGAGAAAAGCTACATATGGGCTCTAATACACGGCTCCTTGGTAGAACTCTTTAACTGAATGAAGCCTTGGGGTGATCCCACTGGCATGTATGAAGGGTATGGGGAACAGGAGCTCTGTACAGCCCTTCACACCACCCACTGGAATGACTCTGCTACATTCACCAGCAATACACCAGGTGGCAGGCTCCGTAAGGGCACGTTTTTATTTCTAGGGCCTTAAAGAATTCTTAGAAATGGTTTCCTGAGTGAATGAAAGCACATAATGTTAGTAAATGGTTGATTTTGGTGTATATAGTGGAATGTGATAATACTGTTTTTTGAATCCTGCGCTATTCCAGAAATACAACCAGCTCATTTGGAAACAGGTCCTGAAGATAAAGCAAACTAACGGCATAGACATAAAAGTCTACACAGGGACGAGGCAGACACAGAACATGTATCTCAAAGCCCTATGTGCCTACTATAGGTAAAACTTGATTTCTAAGCTTTCTAGCAACTTAAGGAGGAAAACATGGTAAGCTCCATAGTCCACAGTAATGTATTATATATATATATATAAAAGAAAAGAAAACTAACTTCCTGAGAGGAACACAAGTACTTCTCACATGAAGGAGAAAGGACTGTCTTAAGTACATATTCTCCTGGTAGCTCTCCTTCCAGATGAGAATGAAGATGTCAAAGTGGCAGAGACAACAAGCTAAGAAAAGTTCACACGTGGCTCTAATAACATTTAAATGAACGTAAGGGATGACCCTGAATTTGAAGACGTCTAAAACTTCATGCCAGTTTTTAGCTTTCTCCTGTGCATTTCCTCTTCTGTTGGTGTCCTTGATGTAATTAACTACATACATTCTCAATGTGCCAAGACTGCCAACTGTCCCCTAGGGTCCATGACATTCTTTCTTTCATTAGTGGATTACTTCTCCCAGTGTTATTCTCCCTTCAGAGTTGCCCAGCTAGAGACTGTTTCCCAGCTGCCCCTACAGCTAGATGTAGCCACCACTATGCTCTGACCGCTGGCATACGTGACAGATACAACCTCATTGTCATTTCCTCACAGGGAAGCTACTTGCTCTTCACTTCTTCTCTTTGCCTTACTTTCCTCTACGTGGAAGACGCACAGGTGCCACTGAGCCAGTTTTTGTTTCTGCTTTAGGCGAACAGGGCGACACCCAGGGAATGGCCAGACACCATGACAGAAGGAACCGGGGTCCCTGCAGGGGTCCACCCACCTGAGTCTAGATTGTCTTAAAAGAAAGAAACCTGTATGCTTTGAGACATTGTAATTCCAGGTTCCCTTATTCAACACTTTAGCCTGTACTCTAACCAATACGATTAGAAAATCTTAAAAAGTTGGTATGTTTGTTTCAGGGTCCAACAAATTCAAAGAGCTGGAGAGAATATAACTTTATTCTGTGAAATACGAATGGAAGAAACTTCTCTAGAAAGGAAATAAATATACAAGAGCTACAAAAGAAACGACTGGGGGAGGTAAGGGGATATCCTGGGACTCAAAGTGTCCGAACGGAGACTTCTGGGTGACGCCCAACTTTTAAGCACAGACACAAAGGACAGTCAAATACAAAATGGATGAAAAATCTTTACATTAAAAAAATTACACTACTAAGCTTTGTAATTTTATATAATTGATTATAATGATTTTAACAATAATAAAATGTTAAAGTCATAAGCAACGTTAAGTCCAGCAGGTCTAATTAGAGCTGCTGGAACTCTGAGCTGTTCTGCTGACTTACGTTTCATGGGTGCCAAAGAAGAAGATAGGGTACTTGTTTGCTGGAGGCTTCACGGCTCCCTCCGGGAGTTCATCAATCTGTTAAAGATCAATTTATGATTAGATATTCAGTTATATAAAATAACATAAACATGATATAAGTGTTGTTTTGATAATTTACTGCTAATTTAAAAACAAAGTCACTCTAAAAAATCCCAACAGTTTTTCTCCTCTTGGACCTTACACAAAATGACTCTAAAGGTCATATTTGGCCCACCACATGGAGAGTTAACACTGTAAACTGATTATAACTACTATGGGAATACGTAAGCAGGAGGCATTTCCTTCAACTCAATAGAAGTACTCCTGGGAATCCGTCCTATTTTGAAATAATTCAAAAGAAAGAATAAAAACAACCAAAAAAGGTAACAGTGAATTTTTACTTAAACACACACACACACCCTTAGAAATATAATCATTGCAAGATAGGAGAATTATGGGAAATTAACTTGATAAAATATTTAATGACTTTAGTCATTAAAAGATCTTTCTTGCCTGGCCTACTTACTGCAAGTTTCTCTCCCAGCCCATTGAAGCTAGAATTACCTTTGAAAATGCACATTTGTATCACTTCCTGCTTCAAATCCTTACATAGCTTCTCATTGCTTACAGCATTCCTAGCTGTGTATCTGAAACCTCTGGAGCTTTTTAAAAATAAAAAAAACCATACTTCAAACTCTTCCCCAGACCTACCAATTCTTATATACAGTTGAGGTTGAGACCCTCTACCAGGATAAAGTCTAAGTTTCTCATAATGCTATATAGTTACATGTATACATTATTCCTTAGAATGTTTCAAGAAATGGGTCCTTCTATGGCTACTCCTTCTATGTAGCCCCAACCTGTCCTTTCAACTTCAGGCAAGAAATTTACAAACATCTACAAACCGTTTCCATTTACAGGTCCTACAAGCAGCTTACACACTGAAGAAAAGGGTACAAACAGAAGATGCACAAGGGCCTGGTGTCTAGTGTCCTCAAGAAATCTGCAGGCCTTAACACACGGCAGCCTGGGAATCACGGCACTATCACAAGTCCGTCTCTGACCTCAAAGAACCACGTGCCACAGAGCGGACATTCTGTGCACTAAGACGGACTTTGAGTCTAGGAACTTGGAGGTGATTCCGGCTTCTGACTTGAACCGTGATATCAGAGGTGCTGCTTCATCTCTTGGGCTTTGACTTTCACAACTGTAAACTGAGATGGCCGACTTGATAACCTTAAGTCCTGAAATTCCATCTTGTCTGAAACTGAACAAATTTCCTATGTCTGTTTTTGTTTGCTATCTTACTTATAGGTACATTCTGTTACCAAGAAAGAAACAATCTTTTCATTATTTCCTCAAACCCCACATTCAGTTTTTCAGGCAAATTGTGCTAATTCAGTTCCTGAAATGCCTCTCCAGTTGATCACCATTCCTATTATTTAGGTCTCTAAATCAAGGTCTCCCCATCTTCTGACATGGTCACTGCAGCAGTCTTTCAAAGTATCTCCTTGTCTCTAGCTTTCCTGTGACCTACTACCCAGCTTCTGTGAGACCCTGGTGTGTGTTACACTCCAAACTACCCACAAAGACAATTTAAAAGCAGTAATTTCACTCTGAATGCTTTCTATATGTACATATAAAATTGTGGTGAAACATATAACATAAAATTTCAATCAGTAAGTAGTGTTAAGAATATTTATTGTTGTGAAAAACATGTCCAGAAAACAAATAACTATATTTTAAATGTACAAAAAGCAACTTGAAATGGAAATGCATAGGTTTATGGAATGTGGCAGGCACTGAATTACTAGTTGATGAAACACTACTTATTTTTTTAGGCTCTTTTTTAAAACATTTTATTTTGGTATCATTAATGTACAATTACATGAGCAACATTATTGTTACTAGACCCCCCCCATCATCAAGTCCCCCCCTACATGCCCCACTGCAGGCCCTGTTCATGAGCATAGTGAGATGCTGTAGTCACTGCTCGTCTTCCCTGCGTTGCACAGCCCTCCCCGTGCCCCCTCCTACCGATGAAACACTATTACGTTGTTGTTTTTTTTTCACTCACTCTTGTGAGAAAGCAAAGTGAATGGTTTTTAAAAAATTATTTTAACACTTTTCCTTCACAAAGGTAACAACTTTTGGTTAAACTCTTCTTTGCTACAATGTTATTTAAGTAGCATCTACTGCAGAGATTGCAAACTGATGCCCCTCAGGCCATTTCTGTTGTTTGGCTCATACAGTGTTCTTTAAAAACTGCATTAGTTATCAACACTTTAAAACAGGAAGATTCATATTAAAATCCACAATAATAACTGCTGTGAAAAAAAATACTGAAGACAGAGATAAACCGCACGACGCTTGCATTCCCACAAGGCAGTATTAGCTGAAGAGGACCTCCAGCCGCTGTCTTCAGACAAGGTGTGTGCTCTCCAGCCCTCCCTGCCGCGTCGCTCTCTAGGTCATGCTGTGAATGCCTGCTTTCCTTATTCACATTCCTTGTCTGGCCCCTATGAGTATCTGAGTTCATGCCCCTGTAATTAACATGGTCAAAAAATAGGACTGGCCTTACCACTCACGCTGGTTCCCTCAGAAAGGTGTGGAGAAATGTGTTGTCATGCACTTATTATATTTTACTGAGTCTTGTTTTTAACTTTCTTGAGAATTATACTCTGATAATTTTGGCATTAAACTAAGTTTTTCACGTGGCTACACTCTCCCGAGCCAGCTAAAGAGCCCACCTCCCGGGCACTATTTTTTTGGCTCCTAGAGTTAATACTAAGTGGCAACCGAACTATCTTCGGCGTTTGTTTTCCTGACTTTGTTTTCACTTTCGTTTCTGGTTCTTGGCTATGGTTTTGGCCCTGATTCTGGTTTGCACAAAGCCAGTGTATTATTCCCCGTAACAGATGAGAACCTATTATCTTTTGGGTATAACATGGCAAAGAATATGGTACATTATTCTGGTTTGTACAAGAGTGTGTCTTGCTTCTACTAGAAAGAAGAAAAGTCCTTTGAGTTCTGAATCAGTGAGTGTGTATTTTGTGTTTCCTTTAACCTGTAGCTAAAGGTTTGGACCTGCCGCTGTAAGCTCTGTGTGTCTGTACTTGAGAGCTTTGGCCCTCCTTGCGTGAGTCTGAAACATTTTCCTACTTCTGGAAAGGGTACTGACAAATTAGACATAAATTTCTTAAAAACAAAAGAGCTGTTCTTATTGGTTTATAGATACTAATAGGACTTACAAAAATCTAACATAAAGGAACATAAGAATCCTCAAGAAATAAAAAAGTGAATACGGTAGCCTTTCGGTTATTGTCTGTCTGCCTTGCTTACTACTGCAGAGGCACTCGGGGTGTCGGTCAGAAACAAAGGCTCTGCCCGCTGGAGTCTGTGACTACAGTCCCACGGACTCGGGGACCCGAGGGAAGCAGCCTCGTATTTCCTAGAGAACTTGTCCTCAGAGTATCACCCCTGAATTTCACCATTAGTGTCACCTAGGGACTCATTAGAAATGCCGGTTCTCAGTCCAGAACCCAGACCAACTGACTCACACAGCTCTGGGGGTTAAGCCCAAGAATCAGTTTTTAAGAAGCACTAGCTGCTTTTGACTTTTTTTTTGACTTGGATTTAGACTAGTATTAAATTGAATTAATTAATGGATAATCTTTCCATCCCTGAATAACTTTTAGGAAAGACAGAATACTAAAACATTGGTCACCAAGTGTAGTTTTAACATATGCATGATTTTATTTTTTAGTGTTTATAAATCATAAATTTATCCAGATTTATACATAATAATTTATAACAAAGTATGCTTTTCTCCATGTTCACATATAATTATATATAAATATGTAATTCTATACACATGAAGATTTTTGGAGGGAGAGGAACTAGTGTGTTTTATACATAACGTGAGTGCACACAAAATGAGATCGTATAAATTCTCTGCATCATGAAGGGTCCTAGAAGTCAACTGGCATAGTTCTAACTCATTTGTTTTTAATGACTGTATAATAATTCAGCCATTGGACTGCCTATAATTTATTCAACTTTTCCTGAGGGATGGATATTACCTTATTTTTAGTGCTGTTGCCCTTAAAAAAGGCTATAGTAAACACACTTAGATTTTTATGCACTGGTGCTTCTCTTTCCAGGAGAGATTTCTAGGAGTGAGATGGCTGGAGGTAGGAGTGACGGATTAGAGGTATTTTTCATTTTAACAGGTATTGCCAGATTGCTTTCAAAAAAGGCTGTAATAATTCACATTTTAAAGGACAACAACAAGAAAACAACTTAAAAACACACACATTTATAACAGCAGCAAAAATTATAAGATACTTAAACTATATCTAAAAATAGATGTAAAAAAATTATAAAATTTAGGAACCTTAAGAAAGCCCCAATAAATGGAGAAATAAACCATATTCACAGACTAGAAACCTCAATATTATGAGAAGCCAGTTCTCCCCATGTTTATCTATAGCTATAATCCAAATCCAAAAATGGTTTACTGTGAATCTTGGCAAGCTAATGTACTGTTTGCCAGCCTCTCCCGGACGGGAAGCACACATAATAGTAGGTATAAGAAGACACAAGACCTTAACCACAGTATCTTGGAATCTACACGGTAAGTCTTATCTATTTCTAGCGCTAGGTCTTTTTTTTTAAAATTAAGTCTAGAAAACTTCCTTTATTCTGTTTCTGATAATCAATTTGAACTCTCTGTCCTGTCTTCTAGGATTCATGTTATTAGCAAACTGACTCTCTGTGAAATATACTTGATGCTTGATTATCGTCTCTTCTCTTGTATTTGTCTCTACTTCTTCTGCTTTCTAGATATATGTTTCAAAGTCGGTCTCCTATTTGGCTAATTTATTTTCTGTAACATTGATTATACTGGTTATCTGGGGTGTTTATATACTCCATAGTTTGTCCTTTCTTATTTAATGGAGTCACTGTTTACATCCTATCTTCTTCATTGGAAAAAACATTTGAGGAACACCCAGGTGGTAGACGTTCATAAAGAAGGGCTCTGGACATTGTAGGTC